AGCTGGTGCTTTGTGGACTTGTAACATGAATGAGGCAAAAATGGCCAAAATCTGAAAACCCTCCTGTTACATGCATCTTCTCCTGTTGTGGGAAGCCATCTGAGAGCCCAGTATCCTTGATCCTGATCCTGCCCTCCTCATACCTCCTGAGTGACCTTGAACATGTTGGATAGTTGAGCTGCCAGCCCGCAGGAGCCCATCATTGTTCCTGCTACAGAGATGGGGCAGGCGAGACTGCTGATGGACAGCTCCACTCATCTTTCTCAGCAGCAGGCTGCGCCTGGTGAGATTGGTAGTGCACTGGTTGCCACATGCCTGAGGCTAACGAGCAGGTCTGGACAGAGGTTTATACCCGGTGGCTGGAGAGGAGGCCAAGCCTGACAGAGTGCAGGGCCTCGGCAAGGGGAGCATAGTATCCACCCTCTCAGGTCAGCTTGACCCTGAGCTCCGCTCACAGCTAATAGCTCATTATTTAGTCCCGGAGGCACAGAGTGAAGACAGTCATAGCCACGGGGTCCAGTGTTTTGCTTCCTCTCTCTGCACTGCGCACCCCCAGTCTCACCAGTAGCCTTTCTCTATTCCTCGCCCTCTGCTCCCTCTCTGGTGCTGCCACCATGGCGTCCAGTCCTTGGGCAGGGACCTTAGGACTTCCCTTTCAGCACAGTCATAGGAGGCAATCGAGATGCATAAGCACCTGCTTCAGCCCAGTGCTCCCAGTCCTCTCTGCCCCTCAGTACAGGGGCAGCAGCCAGGGCTGTCACTGGGAGCCAGGGCCGGAGCAAGCTGTGCATTCTGCGTGAGAGCTTGTGGTGGGCAGAACACAGGGACTTTAATCCCTGCCAGTCCTGAAATGTGCGAGTTTTATGAAAATCTCTCTCTATCACCTGAACTTGGGTGTATAATGCATGGTTCACTGTGTTTGGAGCAGCATTTCCCAATGCCTGTCTGAAAGAAACTGGGAGGCAGCCATGGTTTGGGAAGGCTCCATGGCCAGTGTGATGGAAGGGTGGTGTGATGGAAGGGCGATGTGAAGGGAAGGGCGGTGTGAAGGGAAGGGCGGTGTGAAAGGGAGGGAGGTGTGATGGAAGGGCGGTGTGATGGAAGGACAGTGTGATGGAAGGGCAGTGTGATGGAAGTGCGGTGTGATGGAAGTGCGGTTTGAAGGGAAGGGAGGTGTGATGGAAGGGTGGTGTGATGGAAGGGCAGTGTGATGGAAATGTGGTATGAAGGAAGGGCAGTGTGAGGGGAAGGGAGGTGTGATGGAAGGGCAGTGTGAAGGGAAGGGAGGTGTGATGGGAAGGGTGTGATGGAAGGGCGGTGTGATGGAAATAGCAGTGTGATTGATGGGAAGGGTGGTGTGATGGAAGGGCAGTGTGAAGGGAAGGGAGGTGTGATGGGAAGGGTGTGATGGAAGGGCGGTGTGATGGAAATAGCAGTGTGATTGATGGGAAGGGTGGTGTGATGGAAAGGCAGTGTGAAGGGAAGGGAGGTGTGATGGGAAGGGAGTGATGGAAGGGTGGTGTGATGGAAATAACAGTGTGATTGATGGGAAGGCAGGTGTGATAGAAGGGCAGGGTGGTGGGAAGAGCTGGGTGAACCAGAATCCAGCCACAGAACCATGTTGCACATCTGTAAAGCACTATGTGTGAATAAGTATTGTGAATCTTGAAGAATCAGATATGTCATGCAATGCTTTCTAATTTTATTGAAACATGAAACTTTATTTTTATGAAATTTCTATAATGGCTCCTGGAAAAACTAGTGCCCTGGGGAACAAACCTTGGGAAGCACTGGCTGGGAAGCACTGGCTTGGGAAGCACTGGTTATCATGTAGAAGCTGGGCTGTTCCCATGTTTGTTCAGGAGCCAGTGCTCAGCCTCACCCAGCAAGGCTGTGCTTAGACTTAAAGCAGCGTTTCCTCACCAAGGGGCTGGGGCGGAGACCCCGCAGTCTGACACGCTGTGCTAAGATGCACTACTGCCTTGGTGGTCCTCTGCAAGCTGAGTGATACAGATGGGATGAGGCATCAAGGAAGATTCTGGATCTTTTCATCTTAAGGAGACTTTGAGGGGTAAGAACGTAGGAATGAAAAGGCCAGAAGACAGACCGGCTGACTTCTGAAAGGGCTGTCCTAGGAGTCTGGAGTTAACATTCGTTCTTACTCGACATACATTAGAAGGAAATGCCTTCTTTTTAAATATATATATATATATATATATATATATATATATATATATATATATATATATATCTTTAATGATTTCAGAGAGGAAGGGGAGAGAGACTGAAACTTCAATGATGAGAGAGAACTATTGATTGTCTGCCTCCTGCATGCCCCCTACTGGGGATCAAGCCTGCACCCTGGGCATGTGCCCTGACCAGAATTGAACCAGGGACCTTTCAGTCTGCAGGCTGACACTCTATCCACTGCGCCACACCGGCAGCAAGGTCGGATAACACAGAGGGCAGGACTCCCAAGTCACACAGAGCAGATCAGGGATCACAGGCTGAGCTTGTCCCTGTGCAGATACGATGCTGAGCTGCATGTGCAGCTCATCTGGTCCCAGAGACAGCCTCTGAGGCTGCCGTCGTTATTGTTCCCATTGTGCACAGCAGGCCTGACGTGTGGGAGAGGATGGAGGAGAGGCGCCAGCTGCCCACAGGAAGGAGGCAGGGGAGAGGGGACACCGCTCTGGTCCCCACCAGCCTTATCAGTAGGGACCCTGGGTACCCTCAGCCGCCTGGCTGGTGCCCCCGCCACCTCTCCCTTGAGATGCATCCTTCTCCTTAGCCATCTACCTCTGCTGGCTGACCACCCCAGCCCGCGGGCAGCTGCCGTGTTAGGACAGAATACCAGCTTAGGCATCAGACTCTTCTCTGGCATGGTCCGCTCCCCTCACAGGAATGTGGGGGACCCACACACAATGAATCATCAAGCAGCAGAGAGTGTCAGGGGCTGGCGACTCCATAGGGATCTTACGGCTTCTCCCAACCGGATGTGCAGTCTGCAAGCTGCAGGGAGCAGTTAGACCGGCTCAGGGGGTCCGCGCAGCCTAGGCTGACAGTGGCTGGCACAGACCCGAAGGGGGTGCAGAGGTGGGCAGGGGCCAGGGAGCTCAGTCTCAGGGAGATGCCACTGAGGAGAGCAGTGCTTCCTGGAGGAGCACCGGAGCCAGCCCCAGGAGCCACCTCTGCCTGTCAGGTTGCATGGCGGAGGACTGTCGGGGTCTGTGCTGGCTGTGTGCCCGCTGGCAACAGGCTGTGTGTGAGGCCCTCACAACGAGTATGTGAGGAGGGGACTTCCTGCGTGAAAGCTGACCACCCACACCCTGCCGCCGGGCCTCCTGGAGGGCCCAGGGTGTGGGGCCAAGGGGACTGGGGCCCAGGAGACAGGGACCCAGGGGTGCGGGGCCCAGGGGTGTGGGGCCCAGGGGTGCGGGGCCTAGGGGTGGGGGACCCAGGAGTGAGGGGCCCAGAGGTGAGGGGCCTAGGGGTGAGGGACCCAGGGGCCAGGGGACAGGGGACAGGGGCCCAGGGGTGCGGTGGCCCAGGGGACAGGGGCCCAGGGGACGGGGGCCCAGGGATGCGGGGGCCCAGGGAACAGGGGCCCAGGGAACAGGGGCCAGGGGACAGGGGCCCAGGGGTGCGGGGGCCCAGGGGACAGGGGCCCAGGAGACAGGGGCCCAGGGGTGCGGGGCCCAGGAGACAGGGGCCCAGGGGACAGGGGCCCAGGGGTGTGGGGCCCAGGGGTGCGGGGCCCAGGGGACGGGCCCAGGGGTGCGGGGCCCAGGGGACAGGGGCCCAGGGGTGAGGGGCCCAGGGGACAGGGGCCCAAGGGTGCGGGGGCCCAGGGGTGCGGGGCCCAGGGGAGTGGGGCCCAAGGGACGGGCCCAGGGGTGCGGGGCCCAGGGGACAGGGGCCCAGGGTTCCGGGGCCCAGGGGACGGGCCCAGGGGACAGAGGCCCAGGGGACAGGGGCCCAGGGGACAGGGGCCCAGGGGACAGGGTTGCAGGCGACAGGGGCCCAGGGCTCTGAACTCAGCCATGAGGAGGCTGCTCTCCCTGGGGCACGACTGGCTTCTGTGGGACCAGGCTTGGGGTTTGCATTTGAGGAAATGAGCCCGGGCCGGGGCCAGGGGCCAGGTGAGGACATGGTCCGGAACATCCCCAGAGCTTCTGAATGTCACTGCCCTGAGGGGAGCTCTGGCCGCCTGCCAGAGGGACAGCCACCTGCCCCGCATGGCGCTGCCCGGCCCACACTCCTCGGGCACTGTCTCCTGAGCCCGCATGCCCCTCGGACCAGCCTCCGCCTGGCACATGGGCACCAGGTGCTGTAGGAATGAAAGTCACGCGATCAAGGAGCCGTCCTCGGCCTTCAGGCCAAGAGTCTCCGAAACAAGCTTGACTGTGTCCCCTCTCTGGACCATCCCCTCGGCCCCATCCGCACAGGAGAGAGTGCCAGCGCCTCCTAGACCCTGCCAGCCTACCCCGTGCACTCTGTGTGCTAACCCAGTGAACCCAGACTTCGGGGTGCCTCACGCCTGGGGACCCGGGGGTACTAGAGTGGCACGGGAGGCATCACCCCTGTTACAGGCGCAGTGGGCCTGGTGGCAGTGCGTGGGCCACGCTCTGAGGTGCTGCCCTACCCGGGCACGTGGAAGAGTCGTGCTTCCTCCCGCCGAGCCTGCGGCGGGGCCTCTGCCCAGGTGGTGGTTGCCGGCCCAGCAAATGCCTGCACTCTGTCCCCACAGCCCGGGGGCACCTCCTGTGACCATCCTGCCGCCACCAGGCACTGGTCCTTCAGCTCCTCCAGAACCCATCACCCTCCAGGGACCTGCTGTCCTTTCCTTTCCTCCCAGCGGCGCTGCTCTCAGGACAGCTCAGCCCGGGCTGGGGCTCCCTGCCAGAGGAAAGCGTGTGCGTGGGCATCACGGGGGGACAGGGTGATGCCCTCAGGCTGCCTGCCCCCATCCTGACTCTGCTGTCTGACTGGTCTTCCAGGAGTTCTCACTGCAGAGCATGGATGGCGTGGACGAACGCGTCAACATCCTGGGATTTTCCATTTTCAACCAGTCCCACGCTTTCTTCCGAGAGTTTGCCCAGAGCCTCAACCAGTCCTGGCAGGAGAACTGTGACCACGTGCCCTTTCGGGGGCCAGCGGTGAGTGCCACCGGAGCCCCTCCGGAGCCGGGCTCCCTCTGAGGGCAGCCAGGACACCCACCCTCCTGGGGCACCTTCTCCAGGCCCAGCTGGGAGGTGGTCCCAGGAAAGAGTGCCCACCAGCGTGCTGTGGGTGAGAGGAGGGAGGAGGAGGGACAGAGTGCTGTGGGAGAGGAGAGGGGAGGGGAGGGGCAGAGTGCTGTGGGGGAGGAGAGGGGAGGGGAGGGGCAGAGTGCTGTGGGGGAGGAGAGGGGAGGGGAGGGGCAGAGAGCTGTGGGGGAGGAGAGTGGAGGGGCAGGGTGCTGAGAGGGAGGAGAGGGGAGGGGAGGGACAGAGTGCTGTGGAGGAGGAGAGGGGAGGGGAGGGACAGTGCTTTGGGGAGGGAGGAGGACAGTGCTGTGGGGGAGGGGAGGGGAAGGGAGGAACAGAGTGCTGTGGAGGAGGAGAGGGGAGGGGAGGGACAGAGTGCTGTGGAGGAGGAGAGGGGAGAGGAGGGCAGAGTGCTGTGGGGGAGGGGAGGGGAGGGACAGTGCTATGGGGGAGGGGAGGAGAGGGACAGTGCTGTGGGAAGGGGAAGGGAGGGACAGTGCTGTGGGGGAGGGGAGGGGAGGGACAGTGCTGTGGGGGAGGGGAGGGGAGGGGAGGGACAGAGTGCTGTGGAGGAGGAGAGGGGAGAGGAGGGGCAGAGTGCTGTGGGGGAGGGGAGGGGAGGGACAGTGCTGTGGGGAGGGGGGGGGAGGGACAGTGCTGTGGGGGAGGGGAGGGGAGGGGACAGTGGTGTGGGGGAGGGGAGGGGAGGGACAGAGTGCTGAGGGGGAGGAGAGAGGAGGGACAGAGTGCTGTGGAGGAGGAGAGAGGAGGGGAGGAACAGAGTGCTGAGGGGGAGGGGAGAGGAGAGGAGGGACAGAGTGCTGTGGGGGAGGAGAGAGGAGGGGAGGGACAGTGCTGTGGGGAGGGGAAGGGAGGGACAGTGCTGTGGGGGAGGGGAGGGGAGGGACAGTGCTGTGGGGGAGGGGAGGGGAGGGACAGTGCTGTGGGGAGGGAGGGGAGGGACAGTCCTGTGGGGGGGGGGGACAGTCCTGTGGGGGGGAGAGGACAGTGCTGTGGGGGAGGGGAGGGGAGGACAGTGCTGTGGGGAGGGACAGTGCTGTGGGGAGGGGAGGGGAGGGACAGTGCTGTGGGGGAGGGGAGGGGAGGGACAGTGGCGTGGGGGGGGGGGGGAGGGACAGAGTGCTGAGGGGGAGGAGAGAGGAGGGACAGAGTGCTGTGGAGGAGGAGAGAGGAGGGGAGGAACAGAGTGCTGAGGGGAGGGGAGAGGAGAGGAGGGACAGAGTGCTGTGGGGGAGGAGAGAGGAGGGGAGGGACAGTGCTGTGGGGAGGGGAAGGGAGGGACAGTGCTGTGGGGGGGGGGAGGGGAGGGACAGTGCTGTGGGGAGGGAGGGGAGGGACAGTCCTGTGTGTGTGTGGGGGGGGGACAGTCCTGTGGGGGGGAGAGACAGTGCTGTGGGGGAGGGGAGGGGAGGGACAGTGCTGTGGGGGAGGGACAGTGCTGTGGGGAGGGAAGGGGAGGGACAGTGCTGTGGGGGAGGGGAGGGGAGGGACAGAGTGGGGGAGCCTCCTGGCCACACTCCTAAGGGGACTTGCTGGGAACTGCCTGCGTTAACCCAAGGACATTACCATTGTAACTAGTGTGTCTCTCACTCCATGGAGAGCGCAGGCCAGAGGGAAATGGGCGTGTGGGTTCTTCTTCAAGGGCAGATGCCGGGCCTTTTGCAGGTAAAACTAGGTTCTGGGGTCTGACTCTGGGCCCCGTGCTCCTCGCACACCTGCCCCTGCCCCGTGGAGGCGCTCACCCCCTCACCTCTCCCTCCCCCCGTGTCCTCCTCACACGCACTTCCACTCCCTCCTGTGCGTGGGGAGCACAGGCGTCCCTGTCGTTCCCGCGGGCGTGATGGCCTCTGTAGGACAGGGCGTGCGCGCTGTGTCTGTTTGCAGACCAGCTCTCCAGAGATGACAGGGGGCTTTCTGGACCTGTCCTTCGGGGGATCCCCACGCCCCACAGGCTTCTGTGATGTCAGAACCGCTTTCTGAGGAGCTGCTGCGGGTCTACTCTGAGCTGGTGGCCGTGGCCAGAAAGGCCAAGGCAGAGCCAGGCCACGGCTCTGTGCGGAGGAGGTAGGCTGGGAGCCCAGGCCAGGCGGTTCACGGTCACCGCGCTGACCACTGTCTCTGGCTGTCCCAGCCGCCCTCCTCCGCACGGCGCTGCAGCCTGGCCAGAGTCAGCGGCCAGGGGAGTGACACGTAAGGGACAGGGTGTGGGGGAGGCTGGCTCCTGACTTAAGGATGTGAAGAAATGGGAACGAGTCAGGAGTAGAACGCGGTGCCTTCCTGAGTGACGTCCGCCTCCGGGCTTTAAGGTAGAAGTGGCCCTGGCTCTGAGAACACGTGTTAGAGGCCAGGACGATGCTGGACCTGGGCACAGGGCACTTGATGGCAGTTGGCCAGGATGGTGACCAGGCAGTGGACGGGTCGAGGACAAGGTGACCTTCCGGCCGCTCTGCCGGTGGGGTTGTGGCGGCGGAAGGCACAGGAAGGAGGGCAGGCGCCTTGATGGGGAGAATGGAGGGGGTGGGGGAGTTAGGGTGTAGAGCCGAGCCCGGGGAAGGCCTCGCGTTCTGACCTGGAAGCTGAGACTCCTTGGGCAGGATTTGGAGGAAGTCCTTGCCCACGTCAGGGCTTGGGGGCAGAGAGGGACGAGTACGGTGTCATGGATAGGCCAGCAGCATCCTCCTGCAGGGACAAGCCCGTCCTGGCCTTCCCTCCCTCCAGCTGCCATCACCCAGTGGGATGCCAGTGGACTTGAATGGCTCAGAGCACCGTCTTAGGACAGGAAACAATCACTGCCTCCCCTCCATCATGGACCCACCCTCAGCCGCCAGGACAGCACAAGGTCCCTGCTCCCCTTTCCAACTCCCCCGGAGGGTCACAGCCCTTCCGTGGTGCCCACGGGACCTCAGGACCCGCGAGAGCCCTGGAGGTCTGCGAGCGGCGCCTTTCCCGGCGGCGCTCTGGCCGCTCACGGTGCTGGGCTTGGAGGCGGCAGGACCTGCTCTTGAGCTCGGGGCTGTGTACGCCATAACCTCAGGTGCTTCATCTGTCATTTTGAGCAGCTTGCGCTTGGCCATCTTAGAGGGTCATTAGGAAGACAAAATGGGATATGGTTCTGTCTTCAAGGCACAGTTATGCGTTGATGGAGTTGACTTAACCTTCTGTGTGCCAGCCACGGGGCTAGGCATTAGTAATGGTATCAGGAAGGTTTTGCCACAGAAATGCTATTTGAACACCAGTCCCCAGTCTCACAGCAACAAGCATTTATGTAGCTGGTGCCTCTCAGCGTCAGCTAGGGGTCATCCAGGGGTCAGCTAGGGGTCATGCACTGCCTCTCAGTGTCCGCCAGGGCTCTGTGGTCTCTGGAGGAAGGAAGGGTTATAGGAACTCACTGCATATAATGTGGAAGGAGCCCACAGCTGCCACGCATACCCCACAGCAGCACCCTTTAGAAAGGTGGACAGGAGACAGGTGCCCTAGGATGTCCCTCCCTCTGCTCCCCTCCCCGCATCCCCAGCTGGAGTTGTTCTCAGGAGAAGCATTCAGAGAATCTTGCAGGCCCTGAAGTTTGAGATTCTAAAAACATGGGGAGCAGGCTCACATGGACCTCCCAGCACCCGGGTCGCTGGCTAATGAGAGAGCGTCCGCCAAGAAAGCCTTGTTTAGACAGAGTGGGGATGGCGACCACCACGGGGCCTGGTGGGGAGATGTGGCAGCAGCAGGGCGAGCTGTGTCTACAACACTGCAGTGAGGAGGGTCCCTGGGCTTCGGGCACCTGACACCCTCCTCCCAGAGGCCTCTCCGCCCCCACCCCCCCAGACTCCCGCTCAGGGCTGGCCTCGTCATTGCTCACACTCCCTCAGTTTCTGTTGTCTGAGACCCATGTGTACAGCCCAGTGCCATCGCCTCCTGGACACCATCCCCAAGGACAAGTGTCTTCTGTGTTTCTCATCTGCCATCTCCACCCCCACCCCTCAGCTTTCCCGCCCCCAGGGAGGCTGACTTATGCTTAACATGATGTAGTGCTGAGGCTGAGCCCCGCAGGCAGATTTCACTCCAAATTTAATTTGATTCAGTAAATACGTTGGAGGCAACACAGGCCAGGTCATGGTGGGTGTGCTCTGCGGGGTGTAGAGATGAGGCCCCATGAGTTTCTACCCCAGGAGTCTGTTCGCAGTGCAGCAGGGAGTGCAGAAATGACAGCGCTGCACTGACCTCTGCCCTGGTCTCCAGGCTCCACAGCAAGGCCCTGCCTCACCTCTGCACCTGCCTTCTTTCTCGCCTGCGCCCTCCAGGGCTCTGCAGGCTGCGCCTCTGCCTGTGCTCACACTCTCCATCTCTGGAACGCCTTCCCCTGCCCTAGCTGCTCCTCTCCCGGCTTCCACATTCCTCCACCAGAACCTTTATCGCTCAGTTACAGCACGCCTCCTCCAAGAGTCATTTCCTTGCTCCCCCAACCAGATGCGCTATCTTCTGTGGACCCCTCCGAAGGTCCCCGACTCAGCCTCATGTTAACCTCTGTATGCCCTGTCTCCCGGAGCCCCGCCCCATTCACTCTAATCTGCCGCAGGAGCAGGGCCTTACTCAGCTGGCCACATGTTTCCTACAGACCCATCTAGTCAGTTCGCACCGCGGGCTGGAGGGCGGACCGCTGTGAGCGGCATCCTGGGGTCTTCCCAGAAGGAGCCACCCTGGCCTGAGTCTGGTGGAGGGGGCAGATCTGAGGGGAGCAGCTGGACTCCTTCCTCTCCCGCAGACAGGCAGCCCCATTGCCTTTGGGGGATTCCTGCGAGTAGTAAACGTGGGTGCTTCCCTGGAGCAAAAAGAGAACGGGTCTCCTTGAAATCATTGGGCCCCGGAGCTTGCTGGCCCGATCCCGAGAGTCCTTTGCCAGCACCGTCTGCCTCAGGGGAGCAGCTGGACCCGGTGGAGCTGGAGCTGGTGCCTGCACAGGAAGTGGCCTCAGGCAACACAGTGCAGCTTTTCTCTTATCTCTAATTTGCTTTCTCTTTTCTCCCCTTTCCCTATCCCTTCCTTCAAACCCTGGCCCTTCCTCTCCGCTCCTCCCCTTCCCACTAATGCCTCCTGCTGCCCGTCCCAGCTCTCATCGGCCCTGCTGTTCGACGCCCTCTACACGGTGGTGACCGCTGTGCGGGAGCTGAACCGGAGCCAGGAGATCGGCGTGAAGCCCCTGTCCTGCGGCTCTGCCCAGATCTGGCAGCACGGCACCAGCCTCATGAACTACCTGCGCATGGTGAGGGGGCTCGGGGACCATGCCCGGCCGGCCAGGGGAGAGCCCCTGACATGTCCCTCGCTGGCAGGTCTCCTCAGCGAGCTTAGCCCAGACAACAGTGACCTGTGGCATCCCCGCCCGTGCTCCCTAATCCCTAAAATCCCCAAATCCATGGCAAGTCTGTTCACAGACGATGGCCCTGGAGAGACTCCTGGGCTGGGCTGGGCTGGACCCCGCACCTGGGGCTCACACGTGGTCCCAGCAAAGCTGCACTCTAGGTGGGTGGGCGCTGCTGCTGTAGACAGGGACCCTCAGGCCAGCACTTCTAACTGGGTGCCGGTCCCCGGTTCTCAGCCACGTGTCCTCTGGAGGTGGATGTGGGTCCCTAGCCCAGGATGCCGACCTCACATCTGGGCAGAATGGCTCGGATGTTGCTGAGTCAGGTGGTCCTGACTTCACTGGCGGGGGCTAGGCATGTGTCGGGGGTGGAGAAGCTGCCCTAGGAACAGCCGAGGGCCAGCAGGAGGGGCTCAGGGGGATCTGAACTCCAGCTGGCCTCGTTGTGGCATTGGTTTAGGCAGCAGCTGTGAGGTCCTTAAGGGTGAGTATCCTTCTTCCCCTCCGGTCCCAGCCGGTTCTGAATTGGCTCCAGGGCCATCGCATTTAGTTTCAGGAGCCTGTGCTGAGAGGCAGACAGGAGAGTGGGCCTGTGTCCCCTTTGCGGGCATTGCAGGTAGCGTCCTCAAACAGCACATGCATGGGCCGCGTGCAGAGGCTGTGGCCCCAGTCCTGTGTGCTGTAACTCTCTCTCTCTGGACAGGTAGAATTGGAAGGTCTCACCGGCCACATTGAATTCAACAGCAAAGGCCAGAGGTCCAACTATGCCTTGAAAATCTTACAGTTCACAAGGAATGGCTTCCAGCAGGTAAGCCTGGCTCTGACACCACGCGGCACATGCCTCGTTGCTCCTCTCTGTCCCAATCCGTTTCTCCCTGGAGCCCAGGGCAGCCTCCTGCTCCCTGATCTCCCCAAGAGCAACTGGTGCCCCTCAGGCCATGCTCCCAGCTGCACTGCTCCGGGCTCCCTGCCCCTAGGCTCAGCCAGTGTGGGTCTTGGATGGCAGCCCCAGCGAGATACCAAGAAGGTGTCATGCTTTGTTTGGGGTAAGGGGAGGCAAGGGAGTGTCGTGTAAGGAAGCAATTCCCAAGCCTTGTCCACGATTTTGGCTTATTCTGCTCCCTGAGTCTTGCTTTGACCCTGAATCAGGGTTAGAGACCCGTTGCTTGCTGGTTAGACACAGAGGAACCCCATGGGCACTGAGGATTGCCTTTAGTTTTGCGATGGGTGGCCAGCTCTCCCCGTCTGCTCCTTTCTGAAGAGCCAGGCTCCCTTCCCTCCCTGCTAGTGCTGCCCCTCCGCCACTCTCTGCTGCCTACCTTCTCCCCTCAGCTTAGGTGTTGTGTCCTTTGTAGCTTCTTCCAGCTCCCTGTCTTCATTCTCCTCCATTCACTTCTCCTTTTCTCCAACTCTGCTGCACCAGAAGAAACGGGGATTCTGACAACCACTCCAGTGACTCTCTGAAGGCTTCCCAACCTCCTGTCACTAATAATCAGCCCCTTTCTTAGCCTAGCCTTCACGAGCCTCCGAAAGCCTGAGGCACAGGGCGCAGTGCACTGAGCAAGCAGGAAGCAGACAATCGCTAGCTTCCTGACTGTCAGGACAGCCAAACACGGGACACAGCACTGAAGGGTGCTTCCCAGGCGAAGCTGAGAGTTCATCTTCATCATGGTCATCATCATCATCAGATCTACTTCATTTTCATCATCATCATCATCATCATCATCACCTTCTTCTTCTTCTTCATCATCATCGTCGTCATTATCATCTTCTCCTTCATCGTTGTCATAGCAGGTTCTATTTACCGAGGTCTTACCATTGGCCATGTAAGTGTGCCATTTGTGTTTTCTCATGGACCTCACCAGTCTGGCCCTGTGTGCGAACCCCTACTTCATAAGCAGGGAAACAGGACGATGACTGACTTGGCCTTGAATAATTAGAAAGATCAACTAGCTTTGCACCCAAATGCCTCTAACGCCGAAGCCCAGGTTCTTGACCATTATAGTCAATCATGCATTCACGTTACCTTGGCGGTTTAGTAAAAAGATAGGGTTTTAGACTCTCCCCACCAAGAGACTGATGGGCTCAGGGAGCAAGGCGTCAGGCCCCACTGTGACTCCGAGGGTGCCCGCCAGCGCGGGGCCCTCCACCCCACACCGGCCCCTCTGCACCCAGGTCTGGGGCCCCCAGATCCAGCTCCTTCCAGGGGGACCCTGAGGACACGGGGCTGTGAGGCCAGGTCACCTTCTCAGATACAAACCACAAAGAGGAGTCCCAGGCGGAGCGCTGTGGGCCGTGTGACCTCCCGCCGCTCTGGGCAGGCTGTGTGGGCTGTAAGCAGCCACAGAGCTGTGGCTCTGGCATCCACATGGCCGGTGGTAGCAGCCTGGCACCACGCGGAGTCTCACGTGCTCCTTCATTTCCTGACAGTTTTCAGGGCCTGTGCTATGGGGAGTGAAGGTGGGATGAGAAGGTGGGTCCCTGCTCCCAGGAGAGCACACAGGCTGGAGGGCTGAGATGACAATTGGGGCCATTAACCCGTCGTGCCCTGGGGCACACTCCCAGACAGGGGCCTCACCTGCAGGGAATGGCCGCTGACTTGCTCTGAGTCCCAGCTGGGGGAGGGCTGGAGCAGAGGCAGCCTTCCTTCAGTAAGCAGCTGCTGAGCGCCTCCTGCTGTGGTCCCTCCGGGGCAGGTCAGAGCACAGGCAGTGTCTGCTTTTGTGGACCTTCTTCTGGGGACAGACACGGTATAACATAAAGCCTAGCGCTAGCATTAGGGGAGCAAACAGACGATGAGGAAGTGAGCGTGTGAAGCTGGTCACTATGGAGAGCCATCCTAGGACAGCGCCTTCGCCCACACTGCTTGCCTCCTGGTGGGAGGGATGCCAGTCCCATCCGTCCGAGGTGGCGCTGGGGGAGGAGGGTCCCAGGCGCAGGAAAAGGGTGCCTCTTGAACATCTGTGTGCGCCCGGTCCCGCGCGGTGCCCTGGCACAGAGCACAGCTGCCCTGGTGAGCTGCCCTACAGGCATAAACCCCATTTCCCAGATGAGGAGACCAAGGCTCAGGAGGGAAGGAGCTTGGCCCAAGGAAAGGACTAGCAGGACCTTTCCTTGGGCGGAGCTGGAATCGCTCCATTCATCCTCTACAGAGCGTGCTCTCACGTCGCCCACTCCTGGCCCGCCTCACCATCCCGCACAGCTAAGCCACCACATCGCGCCTGTGACCCAGGCCTCTGGCTTTGCTGTCACCTGGGGGCGGGGTGGGGGGGGCGGGAGGGTGGCGGGAACCCTGATTCCCAGGGCATGGCGTCCTCTCTCTTTGACAAAAATTTTGTTTTGTTTTGTGTTGTCTTCCCTTCTGGGCTACCAGCTAGTAGGGGCTGGGTTTGGTTATTTGGAAAGCACCGTTCAGGGACTCTGGGTGAGTCTGAACCAAACACCCAGTTCCCTGCTGTGCCCGATGAAGGGAGGATCACAATTTTAAAAACAGCCTCCAGGGTTCAGGTTGCTCTCTGCCATTTACAAACCACGCTTGATGGTTGGGGAGGCTTTCCGTCCTGGGGCTCCTGGGGCTTCCGCAGAGCCCGTGGGGGGAGACACTGGCGTCCTGGGGTGAGCATCTTAACCTGAGCCAGGCTCCTGCCTGTTGGCTGTGAAAGACAGCAGTGCTGTTTCCATTTCTCTGGCTCCATCCTCCGCGTCTGCCTGTGTGAAATCCATCTCCATCCCATGCCCGCCCCTGCCCCCATTTCCTGCATAGTGTTGGGTCAGCACCCCACTTCTGATCTGGAAGAAATCGTGTAGAAAGAGGTGAGGAAGCAGAAGCCCCGCGTCAGAGGCCTTGTTTGCTAGTAACTTGGTCCAACGCTCAGAGCTCCGAGCAGCCCAGGTGACCCTGTCAGGGCTGCGCAGACAGAGCACATCTTTCCTCCAAGGATCTGAACCCATCTAACGGCCCTGACGGGGCTCTTGGGAGAGGGAAGGCGAAGGAAGGGGGCCTGGCATCCCCGCGACAGACGCAGGTCTGGCTTCTCGTTGGCCGGCTGTATGCCACACGAGCCTGGGCAGCGCCTTCCTCTGCGCGGGGAGGTGGGGCCCTCCTCACAGGGCCACCCTCCCCCACGGATGACGGGATTGGGTTTGCAGGCCGCCCTCTCCCACTGCCAGTGACAGGAGGAAATGGGCTCTGGAAGCTTCCTTGAGAAAAACTAACGTGCTGGGTCTCCTGCCCGGTGCGCTGTGCTGAGGGTGCGGAGAAGTTACTTGTCAGCCATGGCAAAGCTAGACTCTCCATAAAGAAGCTGAAGTGGAGAGAAAAGTAATGGGCCCACATCCACAGCACTGTTCCCAGTGCAGCACAGCCTGCTGGCCTCTGCCCTGCGCCTCTGGGTTTCTCTCTGCTAAAGCAGACACCCAGCTCAGGTGCCCACTCCCACCGAGCCACTGCATGGGGCACAGAACTGAGAAAACTGGGAGCCAATCCCCTCCCCACCTGACGCTAGATTTCCCTTTACCACGAGACTTGCTTCCTAGAATTAGTCCCCAAACTGTTCATTCCTTCTAAATTTCGGGTCTTAGAGTCAATAATGCCTGCCCTGCCCCTCCTGCATTGACCCTACCCCTCCTGCACTGCCCCTACCCCTCCTGCACTGCCCCTACCCCTCCTGCAGTCCCCCCACCCTCCTGCAGTCCCCCCACCCTCCTGCAGTGCCCCCACCCTCCTGCACTGCCCCTACCCCTCCTGCACTGCCCCCACCCTCCTGCACTGCCCCTACCCCTCCTGCACTGCCCCTACCCCTCCTGCACTGCCCCCACCCTCCTGCACTGCCCCTACCCCTCCTGCAGTCCCCCCACCCTCCTGCAGTGCCCCTACCCCTCCTGAAGTCCCCCCACCCTCCTGCACTGCCCCTACCCCCCCTACAGTGCCCCCACCCTCCTGCACTGTCCCTACCCCTCCTGCACTGCCCCCACCCTCCTGCAGTGCCCCACCCCTCCTGCAGTCCCCCCACCCTCCTGCAGTGCCCCACCCCTCCTGCACTGCCCCCACCCTCCTGCAGTGCCCCACCCCTCCTGCAGTCCCCCCACCCTCCTGCAGTGCCCCACCCCTCCTGCAGTCCCCCCACCCTCCTGCAGTGCCCCTACCCCTCCTGCAGTCCCCCCACCCTCCTGCAGTCCCCCCACCCTCCTGCACTGCCCCTACCCCTCCTGCAATGTCCCCACCCTCCTGCACTGCCCCTACTCCTCCTGCACTGCCCCTACCCTCCTGCACTGCCCCTACTCCTCCTGCAATGCCCCTACCCCTACTGCAATGCCCCCACCCTCCTGCACTGCCCCCACCCTCCTGCACTGCCCCTACCCCTCCTACAGTCCCCCCACCCTCCTGCAATGCCCCTACCCCTCCTGCACTGCCCCTACCCCTCCTGCAGTCCCCCCACCCTCCTGCACTGCCCCTACCCCTCCTGCAGTGCCCCCACCCTCCTGCACTGCCCCCACCCTCCTGCAGTGCCCCTACCCCTCCTGCAGTGCCCCCACCCTCCTGCACTGCCCCCACCCTCCTGCACTGCCCCTACCCCTCCTACAGTGCCCCCACCCTCCTGCAGTGCCCCCACCCCTCCTACAGTGCCCCCACCCTCCTGCAGTGCCCCCACCCTCCTGCAGTGCCCCCACCCTCCTGCAGTGCCCCTACCCCTCCTGCACTGCCCCCACCCCTCCTACAGTGCCCCCACCCTCCTGCAGTGCCCCCACCCTCCTGCAGTCCCCCCACCCTCCTGCAGTGCCCCTACCCCTCCTGCACTGCCCCTACCC